TGGGTTGAATATAGGAATCTTAGGCCCATTGGGAGCCTGGTCTTTATTTCTCCTTAGGGTCTCTATCATAGCCTATATATAGACGTCTAGGTTTTCTATTTCAATATTTATTCTTTACTTATGTTTTTTAGAGAGGCTGAAAGAGAGAACAAGGATTCAGGGGTCTTGGCAGCCCACACTGCATTTGGATTATGACGTTTGGGGATATACGATAGAAGGCCTTGAGGTTCGCTGAGTAGTAGTCGTTGTTCTATTCTGAGTTCGTGCCGAGACGAGATCAGTCCAGAGAGATCTCAAAGGTAAATCCTAATTCCGTCTTGTAGGGTTTCAAAGAAAAAGTTTTGATATTCGATACATACGCGCTGTCAATGGTTCTTGGGATTTCTATTCCAACACTCTCAACTTCAATCTCTCTCTGCAGAGTATCATTTACTTCAGCCAAAATTTCGTATTCTCTCTTTATGGCCTTATAAGATTCTAAGGCTTCGAAGGCTTCCTTGCGAGCTTTAGCCCAATCGCCAATTTTCAACCTGAGCTCCTCCTTGGTCTTCTTGACCTCATCCTCAGCCTTCCCTTTTTCAACCTCCAAATCCTTGTTAGCAGAAGACAACATCTCCATTTGTGCTTGCAACTCCTGCACTTGAGCCTTGAGGTCATCATTAGAGAAAACCAACTCGGCGATCTTGAGCTCAGAAGCCTTTAACGCTTAGGCTGAACTCTCCAAAGCCCTGATCCTACTCGTTAGAGCACTCACATGAATGAACAACTAGAGGAAAATACAACCAAGGGTTTGAATCAGCACGAAGTAATAACACAAGACAAAACTTGGAGAAATAGAACCTTACTAAAGTAGCCCCATACAAGGCGGTAATAACACAAGAAGAGAATGGCATAGTGAGAACCTTCTGGAGGTCAAAATTAAGAATTATGGAGGTGATGGCCTTAGTAACAATCATTGTATTATCAATAAGTGACCTCTTGCCCTTCTTTAACTTCACACCCCTCTACTAGTAAGCGATGAATCTTCTCGATAGGTCTAGAACGAGGAAGTCCACACAGCATATGGGCAACAGACTCTAAGGCCTCCTCGACCTCTGCTAAAGAAGGAGATGCTGACGTCCTAGCTTGCTCAAGAACTCCTCCTAAATAGGAAGGCAATATCACTTGGAGGATTGAGGTCCGAACGACCTCCATTGAGCTTAGTGGAGGAGCAGAAACCACTTGGGAGGAAGGGAAGAAGCGAGAGACTCCTATGTCCTCTGCACCTTGGTGAAAGGGGTAGAGTCGCTTCTATATCCGACCTTCACCTTGCACTTTTCCCCACTCCTGCCATTCCTTAGAAGGTTAACCTTCGCCCTCGAAGCTTCTGAACCTAGACCCATTGAGCTAGAACCTGGAAACCTAAAGCAAATAGATCAAAAAGAAGAAAGAAGTAAAATAGAAGTTAAGGATAGAAGAGGGGAGTGTTACCTGCCACCTCACTACACCAACAACAGAAATAGGAATAAGAGGCTCTACAGTCACCTCGGGAGGGCTAAACCCCAGCTTGGTAAGTACATAATGCTTAATCAGGCTAGAATACTTTTTTGGGCTACAATCTTCGAGCCCTATCAAAGAAAGCCTGTCCTCAACTCCTAGGTCAGGGTGGATACCTGAAACAATCCAAGGGAATGAGGTCAGCGAATAAAACAATAAGATGAGGCGAGTTAAGCTTGCCCAAAATAAGGACTCACCCAGGTTGTTAGGACCTGACCAAGAGCATGGGACAGGAAGAATATCATTGGCATCACTCAGATTAAACTCCCACTCATTCTCTGACACAAAGAAGAACTGTTTCTTCCAGTTCTTATAAGAGCTGGGCAGGTCAGTAATCAAAGCTGGAGTCTTCACCCATTTGAAAATATACAAAAAGCCATCAGGTTGGAATTTGACGTTGAAGAATTTCATGAACAAGGGAATTGAAGGGGTATCGGTGTCATTTTTCTTAAAGAAGACGAGGAGGCCCACTAGGACACCCTAGAAATAGGGGGAGATCTGCGCAGGATAGACGTTGAAATGTTAAATGACATATTTAATGAAGGGATGAATAGGGAACCTAAGCCCATTCTCAAGTGAAGCTACGAAAAAACAGGTCTTCTCAAGGACCTCAGAGTCATACTTAATGTCAGTAGAAAGGATCAAGTAGCGCATGCCTTTGGGAAAAAAAAACCTTGCGGACAAACCACTCATGAGAGGAGGCGTAACCTTACTGGGGCCAATGAGGTCTGAAGCACGAGGAGTAGGTTCGGAGACCTCAGCGCTACTTGAACTCTTTTTGGACTTTCTTTTTTGAGATCGCTTGGAACTCGAAGGAGACCCTAGTAAAATCTAAGGTACCTCCGCCTCCTCTACGACTTCAACTTCAGGAAAGTTGTCAATTTTGTCACCAACATCCCCCAGCTCATCCTCCTCTACATCCGGAGACCTATCACCCATAAGGGAAACAAAGGAAGTTGCAGCTTCAGAAGAGACAGACATAATTGGGCAGGAGAAAGGAAGTATGAAAGAATTATAAAGAGGGAGAACACAAGCAAGGCAATCCTTAAGGGCTAGGGGTCAAGGCACCAGTGACTAAAGAGAAAGACTCTGGTGGTAGAATAATGATCCAAGAAGAGAGGAAGAGAGGACAAGGTAAGACCTTGATTCCTAAAGTAACAAAAGAAGAAAGTCTAGAAATTAAAAAACCACCTCGAATTCAAGGGATCTAGAATGAAAGAAAATAAGAAGGAACAGAGCAAAAGATGTACCTAGTTGAGAATGATCGATAAACCAGGAACCAAGGAAAAGTCAGAACGTATTAGGTCTACCACACAAAGGCTTCGGAGAAATGGGGGATTTTTCTGAAAACCCTAGACCCTCGACAAAATTAGGAAGACAAAGTCGTAGAGAGAAAAATAGAGGTATGAGACAAAATGTGAAGAGGGTTTGAAGAAGCAAAAGACGATTTTTTGTCTGCAATCACATTTAAAGATAGGAGAACGTGGATCCTTGAAATAAATGACATGCACAAGAAATAAGGAAAGCATGATTATACGACCGTTACAACCGTCAAAAGGAAGTCCCATCATGCAAAAATCGAGGTCGACCCAGGTGACCTTACTTTTGGCATAATCCCTGTCCAAATCGACTTGTTTGACCAGGGACTAGGGGCAACTGATGGTACCACAAAATATCTAAGGATGAGCTCGGCTCCCCAGGTCAGCCAGCTCGGGAGTTCAGCTCGTTAATATCACATGTAGACCTCAACCTCAGACCTCAATTCCCTGTATCCATACCTTATGGAAGTTTGTTCAAAGGACAACTAGATCCCACCAAGTCCCCCATCTTTCTGACGTCAATCACCCAACTGACACAAGTCTCGTTGTGCAATAAGGGGGAATAGTTACACCAAAAGGGCGAGGATCTCGCTCCAGATTAAGCAAACCCTAGGACATCTATAAATAAGAGGTAAAACCCTCAAAAAAGAATATAGCCATTGTTACCTTACAAAGTACTCTCTGTAAACCATACGTAATAGATTAATATATTCAAGAGCAAGAGACTCATTCGAGAATAGATTAGTCAAGCTCTCGAGCTGGTGAACCACTATAAATACTCTGTGTGACTCCCTTACTTATTAAAAAATCCAATTCCCAATAGCTGTGAAGCTCATATTAAACCAAATCTCACTGTTCAATACATTTTAAATCCATACCACTGCTCAATCGTGTTAAGAACATCATCAAAATTAATAAAAAAATAAGGTCTAATAAGAAAATTAATGTAAAAAGATTTGAATTTCTATATTTATTTAGACATTTGCATTTAATTTATCATATTCATTTAGTTTGTCATGAATCCATTGGGTTTTAATTTAACTATTTGGTTTTGAGTATAGATGTTACATTAAAGAGGAGATTAAGATTTTTAACATTTCTATTTAATATTTTAGATTTATTTACAAAATTTTTGAATTTAAGTATCATGAAAACATTCAAACTAATGACGTGCAACACACGTTAACAAAAAATTAGTTTCATTATAAAAGTGACTTCATGGAAAATATGATTTTTAAAATAAGACAATTGGACTAAAATACATTTATCAAATGTGTAAANATAAAAGTGACTTCATGGAAAATATGATTTTTAAAATAAGACAATTGGACTAAAATACATTTATCAAATGTGTAAAATTTGATATTGGAATAATTTTAAATTCACAAAAATATTTTATATTTTATGGTGCCAATCTTTTATTTATTTATTTATTTATTAAGATTTTTCAAAATCCTTCAAAAAAAAGAAGAATTTTTCATAAAAACCAAATATTTTTCAAGGATACTAAACAAAATAATCCTTTCATTTCACATATGTGAATATTACTCAAATTAACTAAAGATTAATAAGGAATTTAGGTTGTTTTCTCTATTCATTACGAACTTATGAAAATTCTTTTGTCTCTTTCTTACTAAAATGATGAAACTTGTCTTTGCATATATGACAATGCAAAATTATTCACCACGCACTCAATTTCGTATCTGACAATGCAAAATTATTGGAGGTCATATACGCTAGCTACGCCATCCCCACCTCACGACCACTAACATGCCTGATTATTGAGGTCATCACCCTTTGGATGCACCTTTCATTGTCCAATTTTGCCCTGACTCAATCAAATCTTCGGTCCCAGTCCCAACCACGTGCAATTGCGGCTGCCATGTATATTGCCGACCCGGAAAATCCTCAAATGATTAGGTAGTTTCATTTCATCTGCATTTGAATGTCATTTGTAGCTAATTTCATCTACATGTGCATCTATTTTCAACTACCAATTAGGACCATCATATATAATTGACATCATCAATCCAATACCAATATTGCCTTGCCTATTTCTGCTGTGCAAAACATCCTTCTGATTGAATGCTGCGCATCGATATAGTTTTTGCCGTTTTGGGTAAGTACGCATCAAATAGTTAAAAATCAATCAGTTGGGCCCAAAAGCTTGTGAACCAAAATGATGGACCAATGAATATTGTCTTTGCACGTGCTCAAAACCACGTGCTGCTGCTGCAGCCGACCAAAAAACAACGCACATGGTTGAAGATTTGAACCCCTTTCCGTCTGGAAAGATTCCTTCTCATAATCACTGCTTCCAGGCGTACAGCAGACGAGCTGCGCCGTAAATCACATCAAAATCCTATTTAGTACAAGGGACATTGGGTAAATCACGTTGGACTCTTAATAATGTCTCTCTATTACCTTCATATCTGCTAAACTTTATTTCATTCATAATATTTACAATCTTTTAAAAATATCTATTAAATTTTATACTATATGTTTTGTTTAGGTGGGTAAAGCAATTTCTAAATAAAAATAATACCGCCCCAAAAAAAAAA